TGTTATTTTAGCATGATTATACTCCATTTTTATAACTTAAATAGTTTTAAGGTGAAATAAAAAAGCATTTTTGCAGCCTGAGCTGTTCAAATCAGTATAATTAAACGTAACTTTGAACTTAAATTTTTCTTGACCCTCACATAAGCCTTTCACAGGCAATAAATGACCACTCTGAATATTTTTGGTGAGTCAACAACCTAATTGCTGTTGTTCTTTTTAACACCCTTTCATTGTTCACAGGTGTGATCTACTTTTTCTCTCAGGTGATGTATTATAATGAGTTAAAGTTGGGGCTGCATCAGAAGAGGGGTGGGCAGCAGGGCAAGGGAGGGGATTGTCCACCTCTACTCTGCCCTTGTGAAGCCCCATCTGGAGTCCTGTGTCCAGGCCTGGAGCCCCCAACACAAGAAAGATGTGGAGCTGTTGGAGTGAGTCCAGAGGAGAGCCAGGAAGATGATCAGAGGGCTGGAGCACCTCTCTGCTGAAGGAAGGTTGAGGGAGCTGGGCTTGTTGAGCTTGGAGAAGAGAAGGCTCTGGGGAGACCAGCCTTGCAGCCGTCTGAAGGGAGCTTAGAAACAGGAGGGAGAGCGACTTTTGACCTGGGCAGAGAGTGACGGGACAAGGGAAAATGGTTTTAAACTAAAAGGGGAGATTTAGGTTGGATATTAGGAGGAAATTTTTCACCCAGAGGGTGGTGAGACAGTGTCCCAGGTTGCCCAGAGAAGCTGTGGCTGCTTCTCCCTGGAAGTGTTCTCGGCCAGGTTGGATGAGGCTTTGAGCAACCTGGTCTAGTGGAAGGTGTCCCTGCTGCTGGCAGGGGGGTTGGGACTGGATGAGCTTTAAGGTCCCTTCCAACCCAAACCAGTCTGTAATACTGGGATAAACATGGTTGACATCAGAGTTTGGTACGGGTGCAAGTGGTCATGTATCTGAGTTAAAAATCTAGTGTTAAATAATACATAAGACTTGAAGATGATGCCTCTGCCTGAGCCTTTGAGATGGTATTTTCTATTTGTGTTTTGGTTTCCAAGGCTTGTGAAGGAGCCTGAGTAAGTTTAATAGTACAGATGTTTTTCTGACAGCATGTAGGACATAGATCGATAGTTAATGACTTGACAGTGAAATATGTTACAGGAATTTAGCCCGTGAAAGCCAGCTCCTGAGGTTTTTATAATTATTCCTGCAGGTTGAAATGTCTGAAACTTATGAATAAACTGCAGGCAGGAGTTCTGTGGATTCAGTAATTTTTCAGACTGATTTGACAGCCTACCACCATTCAGAGGAAACTAAGTGGTTTGTATGAGTTCCAGATCTTCAAATTGGGGACTCTGTGTCTCTATGACAGTAATTACTGAAGGTCTGCTTTCCTTCCTGCATGCCCAGGCTTTCTCAGAACACCTTTACTGAGACTGACTCTGTTAGAAAATTGACATTGTTTTTGTGCCTCAGATTCCTTGTTTTCCTTGTTTCTTTCTGCTTGACTGTAGAAAAACCAAGTTTGTTTCACAGTTTCCAAGATCTATGTGCTGTGTCTGTTCATCTCTTAGGTGAAGTTCTCATGTTCTTGTACGTGTATGGTACCTGAAATTTGAAGATGTTTCCTTCCCTTATTATCTTGTTTTATTTTCTCTTTAACTTGATGACAGTTCTGTGGACCTGACAGATCCATTTTACTGGAGGTCATCCTTCAGACACCTTGGTGGAGTGGAAGCATACTTGCCAAGTGAGAACATGACTGTCCACCTCTGATCTTGGCTAGTACAAGCGATAGTGTAATTCTCATTTTGGAGTAGCACTTAATAAGGTGCTGTGCTCATCATGTGGGGGGGAAAAAACCCCAACAACTACCCAACATATGCATTTCTGTTCCACAAAAATAAAACCCGTGGTGGTGGTTCTTCAGGTGATAGGAAGATGTGGTTTGTGTAAGTGCTTTCATAGGAAAAACATTAAATACTAGAGCTCTTTATCTAGTATGTAAATGCATTTAAAACCATAACTCAGAGTCAGAACTGAAAGCTGAAGCAAGACATTTGAATGGGAAATTTGGCACTGGAGTTTTTTTACCAAGTGAGGTAATGGATGATCGAGGACAATAATACTCTGCTTTTAATGTCTTAAATAATTGATGCATTTGATGAAAATATTTCCCCAAAACAATAAAGTTTAGAAAAATATGCAGTGTTTAGTGAAGGTGGTCAGATCAGGCAACCTAGTGATCCCCTCTTACCTTGGGCTGCCATTAGGGAAGCACTTCATAGAATCCCAGACTGGTTTGGGTTGGAAAGGATCTCAAAGCTCATCCAGTCCCAACCCCCCTGCCAGCAGCAGGGACACCTTCCACTAGACCAGGTTGCTCAAAGCCTCATCCAGCCTGGCCTTGAACACTTCCAGGGAGGAGCAGCCACTGCTTCTCTCGGCAATTTCTAGCTTTGTGCAGAAAGTCTTGTTGCAGACTTTAGGAAGGACACGGTCAGCAAGTGTTCCCTGTGAAGAATGTTCCTGACTGAGCGCTGGTGGAGTTGGCAGCTGTGAGTGCCTTGCTGTCGCGTTGTCGTTGCTGTCGTATCGCTGTTCGTGCTGGATCCTGTCATGTCAATCTTGCAGCCAGCAAGAGTACTAGTGAGATTCCGAGACCTTGAGTACTGGAGGACTGTGTTCCTTCAGTGGGTAGAAACTCTCACATGTTGCACAAGTGTCACCTTTTCCACTCTGACTAACAGGGTTGGTCATGGCTTGTTTCACTACCTTCTTTTCCCAGACTCCTTTGCTGTAGCTGGACACAATCTCAAATATTTGGGTTTTTTTCACTCTGTTTTCTTCTTTGGTTCTTCCATCCAATATTTTTATGTTCCTGTGAGCTTTCTGCTGTTCCTGACATCCATGTTACTAGTTTTCCAAGTACTCAGTTTTCTATCACCAGACTTCATCTCCTATTTTGTCCTGTTCCTTTGCATCAACTTCTTTGACTCTCCCTTCTAGTCTTTTGCCGGCCATCCCATGTTTCCTCTGCACTTTGCATTGTTGTTGGATCTGGTTTTTTTGTTTGCTTTCTTTTCTGTCAGTACTTCAATCCTTTATTAAGCACTAGATAGACAAGTAGTTCTTTTCTGTTTGGTCCTCTTTGGCATCTGTGGAATTTCGTCTGCTGTGCATTACGCAATCAAGTCCTGCTTTTGGGCAGATCTTCAAAAGGGAAGAACACCAATACAGTGTTTTATTGACTGGTTTGGCAGCCTGGGATAAAATTAGCTTGGTAGAATGGATGCTACTTGTTGCTGTAATTATAGGATTAATGAATACCAAACATGGAATAAAGAAATGAACATCTCTTTGAAGTAAAGGGTTAAAAGCTTGGACCTTGCAGGAGAGGAGTCTCCCACAGGTGGGTTATACTGAGGCCAAGGGAATCAAAAGGGATCCCTGGCTTGTTTCAAGAAACTCTGGTTTTTGGGCCAGGTGTAGCAGTTAAGTCTTTGTTGATGACCTTTGTTAGTAGATTATTTTTCATTTTTGAAGTAGATAGTCTGCATTGCTCTCATTAATAAGCATTTTTAAGATTCAGCAGTATTTGATGGATAGAAGAATTTAGAAAATAAAGGTTAAAAAAAAGAGCAGGCAAAATGCTGTGGTAAGGAGTGTTTTCATGATTAATTCTACCTTTCGTAGAACAAGTTATACCAGTCTTGCAAAATCAAATCTTGCGGTGTTTTTGCTGGTTTATCCCTCAGAGTTAGACCCACAGAAGAGTGGAAAGAAGCTTTTCCACCCTCACAAATGCACAGAGTTCAAAATTTTATGTGTCAGTGAAATTTCATCTAATACCTAGCAGTTCCCAAATGCACTATCTCATCCCCTTTTCCTTATATACTGACCAAAGTGCTTTACTCGTGCTGCAGCTGATTTATGGAGGATTTTGTGGTACTAGGGCTTTTTTTATTTTTTTCTTTTTTTTAGGCACAAAGTAATTCTTCTTGATGGCTTTGTTTCTTTATTGTGCTAGCCTTTCAAGTTCTAAAAGTTTTTAAAACTTAGATTTTCTTCAATATCTAGTCTTGTTTGTAAGATTAAACATTGCAAAGGTGGAACTCTAGCAAAGAAATTAACCGAAATACAGCTCTCTGCATCCCACTGTCACATCTGTTTCATCTTTAGCTCTACAGACATCCAGGAGGGTTGCTGGCTTCATAGTGTACGTGTAGTTTCTCTTCAGTTAGAACTCAATGCACGCGGTGTATCAGTTTGTTAAGGAAAGTTCACTTCTGCTTTATTCCCCACTCCCTTTTTTTTTTTCTTTTGCCATTAAGGATGTTGGGGTAATTTTGAGGTCGTTATAGACAATGGAAAACATACACTCATTCTAGAAATTAATTCTGTTCTTGAAGACTAAATGTTGATATGCTTATTTAGAAAATAGTGTCCCACTAATATTTGGATTAGAACTTCAAATAGAAAGCAGATGTGCTCTTGATTTTGCAGAAAAGACTGGTCCCTCTGTAACATGCATGGAATATTTGGGTTAAATTGTAGCCTTGCAAATGATAAAGGTTTAGGGCCTTTCTAAAAGTTTACATGCTAATGAGATACAAGCATAAAAAAGTGTCAGAGTTAGATGATCTTTAAGAAAGGGGTATGTGGGTGTGAACAGCAAAAACTCGCTTTTCACTGATGCATGAGTATGGGGAAAGAAAAGCTTTTGCCTATAAAACTTGTATGTGATCAAAAAGTAAACTACTGCAGCAAAGGGCCTGTTCCTCCCGTGGTACCGAAGTACCGTAAAAGTGCTGTTTGAAATAGATCTGGAGGGAAAAGTCAAATAGCTTTCAGATATCAGTTGTATTGTTGTTCTTAAAACGCTCCTTTTTCCTTCTGAAGATCTAATCCTTATAATTGCATGTTACCAGGAACCAGTGGAAACAATTTGTGTAACTGAGATGAAGTTTAGGGATTCCTCGTCGGTAAAAGCATCACAGAACACAGAACTTTCATATTAGTCAATAATGAATGTGGTTGGAAAAAAACCAATGATTTCTCTTTTTACAGAAAAACCTGCCATTGCTCCACCTGTCTTTGTATTTCAGAAGGATAAAGCACAGAAGGTAAGGAGATGTTGATCTGTTTGTTTGTTTTGTTCTGTAGCCCTGACTCATTCCATGGTGACCAGCTGCTTGTATTGTTTTGAAGTTGAAGATGGATAATAGAGCATTAACATTATTGATGGGCATAGGGTGAAAAGGTACTGGAGGGCTTAAAGTGGGAAGATGTATGATGGTGGCATGAAATGGGTAGCTCTTTGGACAGAAGATGGACCAAATCTGCAAGAAAAAGTATCTTCAGGGCTGGTTCTTGAAAGGAGAAGGTGGTGAAGGAGCGCTGACAGTTGCATGGGAAAATTATACATTTTCCTGATAGTAGAGTTAAGACAAATCAAAGCAAACCATTGCTTTTCACCTAAGTGTATTTAAAAGTATCTCACATCTTTGGTTAGTGAGCTGTGAAGTGTCTAATTACCTTGGAAAATGGTAATCCTGTTCCCTTACCCATCCCTCTACCCCCACCGTGTGTTCCTGTCCCCTGCCTTCGGGTTTGCGGTGACGGTTACGCATTGTTGAGGTAAGTTGGAGCTGTCCCCTGATCTCCTGGAAGGTGTTCCCATGGGTGAGCTTGTGTTGAATCAAGAGGCTGATACAACCCACCCTGTGGCTTCAGACAGAGTGGAGCTCAGGAGAGAAATAAGAGTTGAAGGAAGGAGCAGGACCTTTCCTTTAGCAGAAATTGCTATTAAATTGAAATAGATGTTATGGAAAACCATGGCTGTTTGCATTTTAAAAGTGACACACAAAATGTTATGGATGGGTGCTAGGGTGTAGTTTTCCTTACCTTTTTTTTTTTCCCCAAACAGTAAGCCTTCCAGTTTCTTATAGTGTAAAAATATTTTTAAGTAATAGAAATCGATAAGGGTCTTACTTGATAAAGGGGGGGGCAGAAAATCAAGGCTGCCCTTGTTTCATCTGAAGCTGGTGGGAACCAAGAGGAGTGTACTCATGTACACATGATTCACTTTTTGTGGAATCACTGGATTAGTATATTATCTGTGCAATCAGACAGTCTTCTCAAGTGTTTGAATAGAAATACTGAACCATTTTGCATTTGGTAGCTTTTCTTTGGTTTGGAACAAGTACCAGGCTTGAGCTTTCTCATGGGTTTAGGAGGCATATTCCTCAGCAGGAGCTTGTAATCTTGTGTCAGCTGGAAAAGATTTAAACCTGCTATTCTTCTAATATTAGAAAAATTAAATATATATCTTAGAGTAAATGCTTTGGAGATGTTCCTTCCAATTAAGTTTTTTACAGTGCCCATTTACATGTACTTTGGAACGAAGGGAGTGCTAGTGCTTGTGCTGTCAGTCTGGATCCTGTTGTTTCATTCTAGGAAACAGCCCCCAATCACCTGCTGCTGTTTAGACTGTTCCTGAGGTCCCTTCTGAGTTGCACCAAAGTGAGTTTTCTCCCCAGGTGTCCTTTAACCTACCAATGCTTCCACAGTTAGTCTGGAAGCTGTGATCATAGCAATGTGCAACCCAGGCAGAGCAACTTGGTCCTGTGTCCTTTCTTTGCTGGCCTGGTCCGTCAGTGCTATGCTGGCAGGTCTTGTGATCTCAAATTCTGTCATGTTGTACCTTCTGCTTCTGCACAGAGTTCATGCCTGGCTGTGTGAGCTCCTGTGTTGGGCTGTGAGACAGATCTGTTGCACTCTGGTATGTCTCAAGAAAATATTTGTAAAAAAATCTTAATTACAGGCTTAATGTCTCCTTGGACTGTCAGAGAGGTTCCAGGCAGAGGGATCTGTGATTTAGTCTTCACAACAGCCTCTGAAGATGCTGAGGACTCTGGTGATTTTTGAGTAGGTAGCTGTGTAGGTCACTGGAGCGTGTCCAGAGAAGGGCAACGGAGCTGGGGAAGGGTCTGGAGCACAAGTGTGCTGAGTTCCCTTGTGGCTGAGGGAACTGGGGTTGTTGAGCCTGGAGAAAAGGAGGCTGAGGGGAGACCTTCTGGCTCTGTGCAAGTCCCTTGGAGGAGGGTGGAGAGAGGTGGGGGGGGGTCTGTTCAACCAAGGACCAAGGGACAGGACAAGAGGAAATGGCCTCAGGTTGTGCCCAGAACAGTTGAGATGGGATGTGAGGAAGAATTTCTTTGCTGAAAGGGTTCTGAGGCATTGGAAGGGGTTGCCCAGGGCAGTGGTGGAGTCCCCATCCCTGGAAAAAAGGGTGACTCAGGTCATGCACTGGTTGAGACCTTTCAGTGTATTTTTGGAAAGGCTAACAGCCAAGTGTTACAGTTAATGGTTAACTCATTACTGTTTCCCTAC